GACACCCTCTGCCCCAGCAGCCTCTGCAGTTTGGTGTGTGTGTGAGGAAGACTGCCTGCATGGTGACAGTCTACTGGCAGTGATATAACTGCGTCTGATTTTGTGTGTGGAGAGACGTATGTGGCTGCCTGTGTCCAAATGGGTGATTTTCTTGGGCTGGACTAGTCTATGTCTGCAGGAACTGTCATAACGCCTATGTGTGTGCCCTGTGCCCATCTGCCTCTCTACTTCCAGGAAGACCTTAGGCAAGTTCTGAGGCCCTTTAGTCTCAGTTCCCTGGTCTTAACGTATGTTCCGTCTCTCCTGGCTCAGATGCTCAATGGGTGTGTTTGTGTGTGCCTATTATGGGGAATAGTCAGGGCAGGGGACTCTTTGGTAGAGTCCGGCAGTTTCTGGAAAGGTGGAGGAGTCTGAGTCGTTGGAATGGGTGGGGTGAGTCTCAATTTCGGAGCCCTCCCTCATTTGGATGTGACACAGGCCTCTAATCCTTCCTCTTAGGCCTTCTAGGCTGAGGGCACAATTAAGCTAATGCTCTCCACTTACAGAGGCTGCCTGACTCAGTGGCGGGGGCAGGAGTTGGCGGTTCTGAAGCCTGAAGGAGAGATGGCTTGGTCCCAGTCTGAACCCTCGGCCCTGCTCCTTGGGCCCTTGAGTGCTGAGTGCAGCTGAGGGAGGATAATTAATTACCGAGCATACGCTCTGAATAGGTTCTAATAAAAGCTGTTTCTTGACCTCATATAAATATTTTCATTCTGGGAGAGGCCGGTGAGGTAGTCACAGAGTCATAGGCAAGGGCCCAAAGCCTGTCCCCCAAACTGTCCCCTCCACCAAAGCTGGGCCAGGCAGGTAAGGCTTCTCCAAGTCTCACCTGTGTCTCTCTCTTCCTAGGTCTTCAAGCAGCTCAGCGTGGTAAGCTCTGGGGACATGGGGCCTGGGCCTCACTTGGGTCTGGGTCAGACCCTGGGTGAGAGCAGGATAAGGACCTGCTGTCAGCCTGACCCACCCCTCTCTGCAGCCTGTGGGCAGCGTGGTCCTGGCCCCCCTGAACCTCAGGAGGGCAACACAGGGCCCGGCGAGTGGCCGTGGCAGGCCAGTGTGAGGAGGCAGGGGGTCCACATCTGCAGTGGATCTCTGGTGGCGGACACCTGGGTCCTCACCGCTGCCCATTGCTTTGAAAAGTGAGTTGTGGCTGGGGTCAGACAGGGTTCCCAGCTTTGGGGGTGGGTGATTTGTCCCCAAACTCCACAAGACTGATCCCTGCCCCTAGAATAACAAAGTAGCGTTTATTAAGACTATGTTATGTGCCAAGTACTTATTATCAAGTTAAGTTCAACAACCTTCATGGTAGCAGCCTTACAAATGAGAAACAGGTTGGGAGAAGGAAGGACCTTGCTTAAAGCCATGGGCTGATATTTATCTGTTTTTCACCTGCCTTGTTCTGTGTTCCATGGTGTCACTGTCTCCCTTTGCATGCCATGATTGGGTCTTGTCCCTCTCCTTCCAGGGCAGCAGTGACAGAACTGAACTCCTGGTCAGTTGTCTTGGGCTCTCTGCAGCGTGAGGGGTTGAGCCCAGGGGCTGAGGAGGTGAGGGTGACTGCTCTGCAGCTTCCCAGGGCCTATAACCATTACAGCCAGGGCTCAGACCTGGCCCTGCTACAGCTTGCCCACCCCATGGCCCACACACCCCTCTGCTTGCCCCAACCTGCCCATCGCTTTCACTTTGGGACCTCTTGCTGGGCCACTGGCTGGGATCAGGATACCAATGATGGTAAGTGCTGTCCCAGATGGAAGCCCAAAGAGGTACTGCACCTGTCCAAGGTCACACAGACTCGGCTGCCAACTGTCCCTGGTTCTAGTCTCCCTTGCTTCCCAGAGCCCAGACTCTAGCCCCAACCCCCTATCTTTTGCCAGCTCCCAGGACCCTACGGAATCTGCGTCTGCGTCTTATCAGCCGCCCCACGTGTAACTGCCTCTACAACAGACTGCACCAGCGGCTGCTAGCCAGCCCAGCCCGGCCTGGGATGCTGTGTGGGGGTGCCCAGCCTGGGGTGCAGGGGCCCTGTCAGGTCTGAGGGGGAGGAGAGGGGAAGGGAGCAGAAAGGGAAGAGTTCTGGCTTCAGGATGGGTTCTCAATCCACAGGGATGGGTGGAAGGGCTGCAGAGATGTCTGCCCAGGGTTGGGGCTCAGGTGTCTGTCCTTGACTCCACTGCCTGCTCCAGGGAGATTCTGGAGGTCCTGTGCTGTGCCATGAGCCTGATGGACACTGGGTTCAGGCTGGGATCATCAGCTTCACATCAAGCTGTGCCCAAGAAGATACTCCTGTGCTACTGACCAACATGGCTGCTCACAGCTCCTGGCTGCAGGCTCGAGCTTTGGGGGCAGCCTTTCTGACCCAGAACCCAGAGACCCTGGAGATCAGTGATGAGGACAGCTGTGTAGGTATGAGCAGAGGCTGTTAAGAGTGACATGTGGGGATACCCAGGCCTGCATGAAGACTTCTGGGCAGCAGGTAGAAGCCACTTGGAATAGAGAATTGATACAGGGCATCCAAAACCTGCCACATGCTAACTAGGGGGCCTTTAAGGCCCACCCTACAATGAGCCCCTACAATGGGAACAGCCCCATTTAGGGCTGAGAGGAATAAATGCTTCAAAACTTTATGGGTTTGGAGTTTAGGTACAAAGAGGGATCTCTGTGATCTGGCTGAAGATTTTTGAGGTAAGCAGCAAGTTTCCAAGCCAGGACCCAATAGAATAGGTGAGATTGGACAGGGCATGGCTCCCACTTGGAATTCTAGCATAAAATGACTAACATACAAATTGCATGCAAAATAACTCCTGGGACAGAAGCTGTCTTGATGGTAAGAGAAGCACTAGTGAGCTGGAATTCTTGGTCCAGCCCAAGCCTGGAGGGGTGCGGACAGATGGAGTGGAGGAATGATGAGCAGGCCACTCCCTTGAGGCTGGACCATCAGGGTTAAAAGCTTAGGCCCTAGCATTTGAATATCAAATCTGCTAATTACCTCTAGTTACTGAGCTAGAAAATCACTTTACCTCTCTGGAACTTTGGTTACAAAGCTAACAAAATTCAATTTAAAAGGCTGCTGTGAGGATTTGACAGTACATGGGAAGTGCTTAGCATAGGTTCTGGCATGCAGTGGACTTTGCAAGAAGACAGATGGTGTAATTCCATCTGTTTCAGCCTGCGGAACCTTGGGGAGAGAAGGTGTGCAAGCAGAATCCCCCTCCCCCTGGCCCTGGAACGCCTGGCTGAAGCACCAGGGGAAGCTGGCCTGTGGCGGAGCTCTGGTATCAGAGGAGGTGGTGCTGACTGCTGCCCACTGCTTTATTGGGTGAGCCCTGTCTCCTTTCCCTTCGTGACCCCCCTTCCTTGCTGGCAGCCCTGCCACCCAATGCTGTCAGTGCTGTCTCTGCACAGGCGTCAGAGCCCAGAGGAATGGAGCGTAAGCCTGGGGGCTGGACCAGAGGAGTACAGCCTCAAGCAACTCATCTTGCATGGGGCTTACACCCACCCAGAGGGGGGCTACGATGTAGCCTTCCTGCTACTGGCCCAGCCTGTGACATTAGGCCCCAGCCTGCGGCCCCTTTGCCTGCCTTATGCGAACCACCAGCTGCCTGATGGGGAGCGTGGCTGGGTCTTGGGGCTGACCCACCAAGAAGCAGGTATGTAGGGCGCGGCCACGAGCAGCTGTCCATCCAGCCTAGAGGCCACTGGGGCAGCCAGGTCTTTCCCTCTACCGCCACAGGCACCAGCTCCCCTCAGACAGTGCCTGTCACTCTCCTGGGGCCCAGAGCCTGCAGCCGACTGCATACTACCCTTGGGAGCAATAGCATCCCCATTCTGCCAGGGATGGTGTGTACCAGTGTTGTGGGTGAGCCACCCCGCTGTGAGGTAAGCCCCAGTCCTCCAAACCTTACCCCACAGACCCCTGGCATCCTTGCCCTGCAGCTCATGTACAAGATCTACCAGGCTTGGCCTCCAGACCTACCTCTCACCTGAAACTCAGCTTCTGCCAACTGGCACCCAAAGAGCCAGAGCCTCAGGCCAGCCCCTAGCCCCTTCTGGCCCTTGCAGCTGCCTATGGGTAACAGAAAGTCACCCAGTGTCACCTCACCCCTAACAGGGCCTGTCTGGGGCACCACTGGTGCACGAGGTGAGGGGCACGTGGTTCCTGGCTGGGCTACACAGCTTTGGAGATGCCTGCCAAGGCCCCACACGGCCTGCAGTCTTCACAGCACTCCCCGCCTATGAGGACTGGGTCAGCAGTTTGGACTGGCAGGTCTACTTCACTGAGGAGCCGGAGCCCGAGGCTGAGACTGGTAGCTGCCTGGCCAATATGAGTATGTGGCCCTGGGGCCTTCCTGCTGACACTTTCCTCTCCAGACCCCTTCTCTCTGTCTAGGGACAGATCTGTTCTGAGTCACCTCTAGCTGCCCTGGGTGGGGTGGAGCAATAGATAGACTCATCTGGATTCAAATTCTGGCTCTCCATCATTGTGACTTGGAGCAGACCTCCCAACCTCTTTGCACTTGCCTTTTCATCCACCATGGGGGCTAAGTAGAACCTCTTCCCTCTTCCTTCCAGGGAGGGAAGAGTTGGGAGGATGAGGCCACTGCCCCTTCCTCTCCCTGACAGGTCAACCAGCTGGCTGTTGACAGGTGGCTCTGGGATGCTGCAAACACATCACGGCCTCAGCCCCTCTGCATTCCCCTTACCTACACGTGATTCCAGGCATTGGGGTGGGCCCAACAGTCCAGTGGGCTCTGGGAAGGAGCCTGCCCCGTCAGCTGCCGTTTCCCAACCTTGCAGGACAGGGAGATGCCACCTGTGGATACTCCCCACTCTCCACTCGCCTTAATGACGCAGGTGTCCCAGCCTTCCCTATTCTCCATCGCCTCAGATATAATCACATCAGCCATGTACTTTGAAAACTTCTTTTTTTTGGGGGGGGGGGGAGTTAATTTTCCTTTTTTAAAACTTAAATAAATTGTTACAAAATAGACTTTAGAAAATAAGTTACAAATTGTAGCAAAAGACCCCCCCTTCCACAGGCAACATTCCTACCCCTGGCTCTTCCTGAATCTGCCTCTCCCTAGCATCGGAATCTGGTTGGTGAAGGTAGCCCGACATCATGGCAGACCCTGGCACCAGGTTTCTTGCAGAACTGGTCATAGTGAATAACACAGTGATAAAGGCTGGGGAAAGAGGTCCTTCAAGGACAAGGATATGAGGAACACCTCACCCCCTGCTTGGGAAAGAAATCAGATCTAGGTCTTCTTTGCAAGGGGAGAGGAGAACGGATGGAGATGCCCAAACTACTCCTGAGTAGAACATGGGAAATCAAGCCTTTCTCCGCAACCCGCACTCCTGCCCTGTATTCTGATCTTTGGAGACTTGAAGTTCAGAGGGAGAAGCTGAGATCTGCAGGCCACTGGGGTGAAGGGTCCAGGAGTGGGGTCGTGGGGGTGGGTGGAGGGGGCAATGATGGGCCCGCCGCTGGTGCCTTTGAAGCTTCTGGGGGAGAGAGAGAGAGGTTACTGAGGGAGCCACTCCACACGGCTTGTACTTCCCTTTCTAGCCCTGCCCGTGGCCCTAGCAACTTGTATGAGAGCCCAAGAATCCTAGGACTTCCAATTATTTTCCAAGACTTGGCTAACTGGCTCCTCACTCATTCCCCTGAGGTCACAAGAAATCTCTTATCCTGAAAGCCATCTCGTCAGCCCTCTCAGGAGAATCTCACTCACCATCCCCTCCTTCCCTGACAATCTCTGGTCAAGGGCCTGCCATCTCAGGACACACCCACCCTTGGCAGCCACTAAATGTAATGGGTCCTGCGAGATCTCTAGAGGAGGTGAAGCAAGAAAGCCCAGTGCTTGCTGAAGGGACAGGCTGTCCCATTCCTCCACAGCCTCATCTTCCAGCTTGGCTGGGTGGAGGTGACTCTGGAGATTCCCTGATTGAGAAGGAAGATAGGGGCTAATGACTGTTGTTGCTCCAGCTGGACCTGGCTTCAAAGAAACAATTATCTGTGACTCAGTCCTCCAGTTAGTGTGCTGCCAGTATGGGGTGTGCAGGTGGAAAGAGCTGTTAGGTTGGATCCTAAAAAGGACATACCTGGCAGAGAAAAGTGTTTAATAAAGGGAAGAAGCAACGAGGGGCAATACTAGTAGGAAAGGACCAAAGGTCTAATTTTCCAAGAAAAGAGGAGGGGGAGCAGAGACTAGGTGCAGAGAAAGAGGAGCAGGGAACTGGGGGGCGGCGGGCAATCAATGACTCAGTTTCTCTACACTGAAACCACAAAGTCCAGCCTGAGGGGGGGGTGCCTCCCACACCCCATTCCTCATGTCCTGGCTCCCTGCCTACTCTAGGAAAGAGCAAAACCTACATCATCTTTCTCTGGGAATCATTACTGACTGGGATCAGGATTTCCAGATGTAGTAGACAAATGGTACCCAGTTGCCTCCACTTCCAAAACAGAAAGACTGCCCTTTGGCTCTGGCAGAGCAGAGGAGCCCAGATAGCTGCCTCTACCCATGCCCACTCCTTACCCCACCTCACCATACTATTTACCCAAAACAGGGGTTCATATCTAGACCACCCAGAAGGCAGCATCCTCAAACTAGTTTTCTCATTCTATACCCAAGCTCCCAACCACCTCTTGGAATCCATGTGACCCCTCTCCTCTCACTCCTTGCTCTCTCATCACCTTAGGGCCAGACTTTGCCCTTCATCATATGCCCACCTCCTCTGGGGTCCTTCAATCCTCTGCCCATTCACACCCACGTACCAGAGTTGGCCACTGTCCATTCCTCCTGGTGCTGCTGCTGGTGCTGCAGAAAGCTGATGCGGCGGCGGAAGTGGCGGGGACAATGGGGGCAGGTGAAAGGCCCCTCCTGGGGCGCATGGACCCGCCCATGGCCCTCCAGCCGGGCAGCTGTCCGGAAGGCCTTGCCACAGATGCTACAGCGATGGCGCTTGGGGTCTGTGTGGGTCCTGCCATGGTTCTTAAGGGAAAGCAGGTTGGGTAGAAGTTTAGGGCAGAGGGAGCAAGGGTAGAGTCCAGTGGTGTGGGCCTTCTGGTGATTCAGCAGGCTACCAGCATGACGGTAGGAACGCCCACACTGGGCACAGCGGAAGGGCCGCTCCTCGTCTTCAGCCACTGTGGACTTTACTCCCTGCCCTCCATTAGTTCTTTGAGTAGTCTCTCCTGGGGCCCTGGGGGGATCTGATGGGGCCTTCTGGGCTTTCCCTTGATGAGGGAGATCCACCTCATCCTCCACAGTCCCAGCTTCAGGACCTCTGGCCTCCTCTACTTGGGGTGGCACCTGACTGAGGCCCCTAGCATGAGTTGGAAGGTGGCTGATTAGTTCATGTTGGGATTGAAAGGCCTTGCCACAGTCAGGGCAAACGAAGGTCTGGGCAGCTATGTGGTTGTGGCCATGACTCTTAGTGGCCACAGAACTCAAGAATTCCTTGGAGCAAAGCAGGCAATAGTGGCAGTCTATCTTATGGGTGTGGTGGTTCAAGGGGCCTTCTGATTGGCAGCAAGTCTTACCACAATGGCAGCAGGAAAAATGGTGGCTCACTGGCTGGAGCTGAGAGCTACTGCCTCCATTGTCCCAGCTATCCACATGACTCAGACTAGGACCATTGGGCTGGCTATTGCCAAGGTGGCAAGGGCTTACAGGAACACTGTCCCCTGACTTGTCTTCTGGTTTGCTCAGTATATGACCCTGAGGGACCCAATCTCCAACATGATTCACTAGTCCCCCATCTCCTTGCCACTCATCCGCTTGCCCCAGACCCAAGGATACTGGCTCTGTGGCTTCTGAACCTGCTGCCCTGATGGGGCTATGACTCTTCTCCCCTGGTCTCATGGCTCCATACTCCAACTGGGGTACTAACTCAGTAACACCTGATGTGTCCTCTAGTCCCTTGTCATCAGCCAGGTTCCCCTTACTGCCCTCTGTGCCCTCAGGGCCTCCCTGACCACTTTTGGTCTCCTCATGCTCTCGCAGGTGCCGCTCCAGAGAACCCCGGCCAGGGAAGCCCCGGCCACAGAGGGCACAGCGGACAGATGCCCGCCGGGATCGCCCTGCTCGCCGCCGCCGGTTCTCTGAGTGCAGCCTCTGGTGGTCCTTCAAGGCCATGAGGTTGGTGTATGTCTTGGGGCACGTGGGACAGCTGTACTGGCCTGTCCCATGGTTGCACTGGTGGTTCAGGAGGCTGCCTACATGGCGATAGTTCCGCCCACACTGCCCACACCTGAAGGGCCAATCTTCCCGAGTCAGTTTTCGGGTGCCCTCACCCCTGTCCCGCTCGATGTGGATCCGCTGGTGGTTAGCCAGCTGCTTCCGTAGGCGAAATGCCTTCCCACACTCACTGCAGCGGAAACGCCGGGGATCTGCGTGGATGCGCCGGTGGTTCTTGAGAGACATGAGGTTTGAGAAACCTTTGGAGCAGGCCTGGCAGCCAAAGTGGCCAGTCTGGTGGCTCTGCCGGTGATTGATAAGGCTGCCAGCGTGCTTGTATGACCGGCCACACACCTCGCAGCTGAAGGGCCGCTCAGAGCTAGCCTCAGTCTGGCAGCCCTTCTCTGCAGTATCCAGCCTCAGCTCCATCTCCTCCCTCTTCACAGTGGTCTCCTCCCATGCCTCTTCTTTCACCTTTGCCACCTCCTCTGGGTGCTCTACTTTAAGTTCCTCTTGGAACTTCCCCTCTTCTGCCTGCCCCAGCCCCTCCTCTGTCATGTTCTGGGGCTCACTGTTGCCTCCTGTCTCTGGGATGGGCCCCACCTGGGGCTCAGAGCCTTTGCAACGTGGGTGGTTTCGCAGATGATTGCGGTAGGCAGCCAGGTTGGGGTAGCAGCGGGAGCAGACAGGGCAGATGTAGTCTCCAGTCTGGTGGATCTTGCGATGGTTCACTAGGCTGCCCCCATGGCGATAGGTTTTGCCACATTGGTTGCAGCGGAAGGGGCGGGGCTGGTCCTCCAGAGAACTTTCCCCACCCTGCGTGCAGAGGCTATCTATAACCCCAGCACCTACTCCCTCTCCAGACTTTGTGTCTCCACCCTCCGCAGAGAGAGAGGTCACTGTGCCCTCAAAGACACCATCTGCAACCATTCCCATGGCATCGGCTGACTCTTCCGAGTGGTTGGGAGTCTTGTCTGTGGTGTTCCCAGAACTCTGACTTTGGTGGTGACGCTCCAGACTCCCCAGGTCATCATAGGTCTGACCACAGCAGCCACAGATGTGCCCATAGCCAGCTCCATCCAGCGCCTCCACCTCCCGCTGCAGCTGATTCAACAGCTCTGCTTCTGAGAGCTGCAGTGGGGTATTATGAGTGGAAGCTGCCACTGCTGATCCTTCATCTTCCCCCTCCTCATCCGAGCCCTCAGTCATGCCAGAGGAGTCATGCACCTGGCGCTGGTGAAGCCTGTAGCCAGCACGCCCAGGGAAGATCATGCCACAGAGGCAGCAGAGGAAAGGTTGTGCTGGGGCTGCCTCCCCAGGCCTGTGGTTCTGGAAGTGGCTACGCAGGGCAGACAGAGAGTCAAACTCCTTTGGGCAGAGGGAACATTGATAGATGTCTGGCGGGTGGCAGGGCCTATGGCTCAGCAGGCCAGTGGCATGGGGGAAAGAATGCCCACAGTCAGAACATGTGTGGGGGACTTCAGCCTGCCAGCTAGTGACAGCTTCAACAGAGTGGGAAGAGGAACTGGGCTGGCCAGTGGCCAGTTTCTGGTCTTCATCCACCCCAGTGATGCCATCACAGAAGCGTGTCCCATTGCTTTCCTTATCGCCTGGGGTGTCTAAGTTGTCAAGGAAACAGGGCTCCTTCTTTTCCAGTCCTTTCTCAGGAACTTTGCTCTCTTTATCACCCTGGAAACAGGCTTCATCCCTCTCAAGCCTACATTTGTCTCTTTCAGCTTGAGCCTGCAAACAGCCCACGTCACTTTCCAAGTTCTTTTCTGCTCCACTAAGACTTTCCCCTAAAGGGTCCTGGGGACACTGCAGGCCCTCGTTGTCTTCTACCAACTCCTGGGCCCAGTTCCCATCTGATGGGAATTTGGCTTCTCCACCACCTCCAGCACTGCCAGCCCGTCTCCAGTGCCGCCTGCTCCTCCGTCGACTGTGGCGTCTCAAATGGTTCTTCATGGCAGCCATGGTGTGGAAGTGCTTGGCACAGGCCCCACAGCTGAAGTCCCCTGTCTGGTGGGTCTGCCTATGGTTGATAAGGCTGCCTGAGTGGCGATAACTCTTTCCACAGTCTCGGCAGGCAAATGCCCGAGGAGGTGACACCCTGGTCTTTATTCTGCTGTTTTCCCCTTCCCCATGGGTCTGGTCATGTTGTTCAAGGCTCTCAGGATCTTCAAAGAGCATCCCACACGTGCTACTTATCTGTGGTGCTGTCCTCTCTGCTGTTGGAGGGACATCAGTGGCCCCCTCTTTATGTCTGCACTCACTCCCCTGATCTGTACATGGAGCTGTCTCTGCTCCCACCGGGTCAGGCTCCACCTTGACGTGGCTGGAGGGATCTTCAGACCCTGGGCCTGTGCTGCGGCGAGCAGACTTGCAATGGATCCGCACATGGTTGCGCAGGGCCATAAGGTTGGGGTACTTGCGGGGACAGAGTGAGCACTGGTACTCTCCTGTCTGATGGCTGTGGCGGTGGTTCACCAGGCTCCCCCGGTGGCGGTAAGCCCGACCACATTCACTGCACTTATAGGGGCGGTAGTCCAGGGTGGTGGTGGGGACCTCTCTCTCTTTGTGGGTGGTCTCAGCCAAAGGCAAGGGAACTGGTGGCTCAGATGGCTGCCCATCCTCCACAGGTCCTTGCCGGGGTCTGTGATGAGCGCGCACATGGTTTTTGAGAGCAGCTGCGTTATACAGCTGCTTGGAACAGATGGAGCAAGGATAGACACCTGTCTGGTGGCTCTTGCGATGGTTGATAAGGCTCCCAGCATGGCGGTAAGTACGGCCACAGTCTCCACAGCGGAAAGGCCGGTACTCCTCCAGGCCCCTGTCCTCCAGCTCCCCAGAGCCATTCAGCATCGGTGTATGAGGGAGCTGGTCCCAGCTGCTCTCGTCTGTGTGCCCATTGGTGGTGGGCATTCCTTTCTCTTCCTCCAGCTGCTCCTGCCTTTCTCCCTCATGGGACTGCTGGTGTTCCAGCAGCTCTTGGGGGAGCCGAAACGCACGGGGGCAGTGGGAACACTGGTAAGGCCGATATTGAGCATGGAGTCGGGAGTGGTTCTTCAGAGCCATGAGGTTAGAGAACTCCTTGAAGCAGATGGCACAAGGATAGATACCCAGAGTATGGCTCTGGCGGTGATTGGTGAGGCTCCCAGCATGCTTATAAGTCTTGCCACACTGACTACACTTGTACCGCCTCTCCTCCTCAGCAGGAGGGGACTGAGTGGGTTCCTGGCCCCCTGTGAAATTCACCATTGATTCAGCCAAATACTGTTCCAAATTGCTAAGGAGGTTGCTGGCTGGAGTGGGGAGTGGTGGGGCTCTGGAAGAGTTGGTGGTGAGCCCCCAGTCCTCTGTATTCTCCTCAGGATTTGGCTGGCTTTCCCAGCCTTCTCTTAGTCTGGTGGGTGGATTTTCCCAGGTGTCCAGAGCTGTCTTGTGGTCAGGCCCAGATGCACAAGCAGATGTCTCTTCGGCATGTGTTTTCGGATTTCCCCAGCTTTCCCCATGGCCAAGCCTCTCACCCCAGGAATTAGTGGACACTGCTTCCCCCTGGAGGTGTAGAGTGGCATCCTTGGGGTGGACCTCAGGAGCATGAGTCCTCATGTGGCTCTTGAGGGCCATGGGGTTGGTGAAGTCCTTGCCACAGGTGGAACAGCAAAAAAGGCCAGTCTCGTGGGTACAACAGTGGTTGACCAAGCTCCCTGGGTGATGGTAGCCCGTCCCACACTGCTGACAGTGGTAGGGCTGAAGAATGCTGTCAGTCTCCTCACTGTCCTGGTTGGAGGATGAATGGAGCAGTTCACGGTGCCTTGATAGTTCCGGGAGGCTAGAAAAGTGGCGCTGACAGTCACAGCACCTGAGTGAGGCGGACGCATCCTCCATGGGGCAGTATGGCAGAAACCTGGAGGTTCAGGAAGAACAGGTGGGTGGTAGCAGCATCTTCTGGTGGTGGGGCCAAGGCCTAGGAAGAGGAAGCAGTGGTCAGAAGGAAGGCCTGAATTAACTTTGCCTCTTGGTTCTATCAGCAATAAGTTTACCAGTAGTCACAGAGAGGTTCCCCAAGCAGCAATGCCCAGGGACCTGTTTTCTACTGGATCTAATCTAGAAGCACTGTCATTTAAGGACACCCTGTAGACAAGCTCCCCAAATATGGGAGCTTCCCTGTAGGTATAAATGAGGAAAGTCTGGAGGAATGTAACCAACCTCTGATCACAGACCTATTAACCTGTTCTTCAGACCAAATCCAAAAAGTTCTACTGCCCCTCTCTTCTATAATTTAAAAAAAATTAAAGGAAGGTAAACAAACATCAACTTGTTTCACTTATTTATGCATTAATTGGTTAATTTTTGAATGTGCTATAACTGGGGATCAAACCCACAACCTTGGTGTATCGGGTCAACACTCTAACCAACTGAGCTACCAGGCCAGGACTCTGTAATGCTGAAACAAACAAACCACCTACCCTCTGTGAAATCCTAAAAGGAAACCTGAACCTCTTCTAGGACTTTCAATAAGAGATGTCCAATCCTCCCTCCTTCACCCTTCAGCTAAACAGAGTAGCCTAGAGGCACTGAAAAAGCAGTCTTTCTCCAGCTGGCAGATGAATGCCTGAGAGATGAAGTTAGGGTTCCCCTCCAGAGAAGGGGCTGGCTTGCTCCCCCACACTCCCTATTCCTTTTAAGGCACAAAGTCTCCTTTCTAAAAGACTTATTGGCCACTTCCTTCACCTACTTCCCCTGAACCCAAACTATCTTCCATCATGGAAATTCCATCCCATTTCTGGTTATTCTGTACCCTCTACTTTTTTCTTCCCTATGGCCTCACCACTGCCCCCCTTCTCAGTTCTCTATCTCCTCTCACAATACTGATGATAACAGCACCGCATGCTAAATGAACATTACCATGTGCCGGGCACTGTGCTAAATAAAGAATATTCATTGTGTCACTTAACCTTTGTAACACACGGCAAAGCTTGTTGTTCCAGTATACACACAAGCAAAACCACTGATTCAGGTAATCTTCTTTCCAAAAGCCTTTGCCCTCTCCACAGCAGGATCCTGTGCCTTCTACATCACCTTGGCTTTCTGACTGATTTTTCAGTTCCATTGGACCCCAGTAACAACTATCCCCGATTAAACACCCCCATTGAACCTGCTCCCCAAACTCTCACTTCACAAAGCCCGTCGCTCAAGACTGAATCTCCTCTACTGATCGTATGGTCTCCTGATCAACTGAGTCCTCTCGCCTCACTTATCTTCTCGGCCAATTTCCTCTCAGGACCCCTACCTCGCACAGTTGGCCCCTTCTCCTTCCCGCCGCGGGTGCGTCAGTTGAGGACCGCGAACGGGAGCGCGCCTGCGCACTGGGACCCTCACCCTAACTGCAGCCGCGCGCCCCAAGGGGTGGCTGTGTTGGGGCTCTCGCGCTCCCACACACGCACACTCCGCCAGGACTCCCAGGATGTGGGAAGGGAGGGAAAGAAGGAAAGGCGAAAGGGGAGAAGGAAGGGGGTAGAGCAGAGAGGCCGCAGCTGGCAAGAGCCAGGAGTCTACCCCCAGCTCCGCGGACACTTCCTATTGTTACTAGGAAACAGGAAGTGTTCTAGCCGCAAAAGCTTCCCTGTGAAACCTCCTCCTAGAGAACACTTCCTGACCAGCCTTCAAGCACCCGTTCTACACAGACACACTTCCGGCGCTAAGAAGTAGCTAAAACGCGACTCTGACCCCGCCCACACAGGTCAAAGCGCTGCGTCGCTTAGTACTAACCTTAGCCACACTTCCGGCGAGAGCAGCTAGACTTGATCTACTGCATATTGGCTAAGCGCATGAGAGGGGAAAATGGTCCTGCACCCATAGCTTCAATACTTTGGTGACACTTTTCGTGGGGCTTCCTGAAAAACTTCTTAGGACAGATGGAGGGAGCTTAATGCACTCCTCACTGTTTAGGGAAATGCTGTGGAATGTAAGAGGATTTAGGCACTATACAGCTTGAGCATGGACTTTCTGTCCTCCCATCTTATAGTTCTTGGTGATCTGGCCCCAAGTTAACAAAGGATCGGTGTACACAGGAAGCCTGTCCGGCGTCCTCTGTCTTTGGCACCCACAGAGAGCCCTGCACCTTATCTCTCCGCCACTTTCTGCCGGGGGTACTCCGGTAAACTTTGTTTTCCTCCTTATCCGGAGAAGCTCCCTTCCACTTCCGCCTGGCGGCCCCGCCTCCCCACCCTCCCCTTCCCCCATGCTGGGTCCTAGCGCCTGCCCCTCCCTGGCAGTGTCCGGGGCTCTGTTGCTGAGAGGAGCTGTCGCTGACGCTACGGAGCCAGCCCAAGTCGGTTCAGGTAGAAACACCGGCAGAAAGGCGCGGGAACCCCCGGGCGCCCCCAGCACGGACGAAATCCGAGCGAACCTGTTTTCCTGTGGGTGCAGAGGGCGGATGGGGTTGGCCTGGCGCGAGCAGCGCGGGCGGGGCGGGAGGAGTGCGGCCCCGGGAGGGCGCGGGCGCGTTCTCGGCCCAGCGGGTCCTAGAACCCGCCGACTGTCCCCGCGGGCTGGCTGCTGCGGACGCCTGGACTCCGCCGGCGCAGCTGCCCGCCTCGCGGGGTGCGGGCCCGGAGGTCCTAGAGCCCTCCATGTTGTGGGCTTTTGTCCCAGGCGCAGGGCCCGCCTAGCTAGGGGCCCAGGCGCCTGCGGCCCCCTCCCGGGCCGAGATCCTGGCCACCCCTCCCGCGGTCCTAGAGAACGCCATCTTGCAAGTCTTTGTCCAGCCCCGGCCCTCGGTCCATTCATTTAGTCATTCTCTCATTCTTCGTTCACTCCTTACCACGTTTTTCCAGGGCTTATTCCAAGACGAGTCAGCTCCAAAGCCCTGCCCTGCGGGGCTGTGTGGCGGGAGCGCAGACACATTCGTGGTTGCAGGGAGCGAGAAGCGCAGCGTTTCTGCAACTCTCGGGCCCTCCTGAGTGCGCGTGGTAGGCCCTAACGCTCTTAAAATTCCCACATACCTGAGAGGCCCCATTTTACTGATGAGAAAACTGGGGCCTAGAGCGCGTGGCGCCCTTCTACCTATTCCTGAGGGCACTGGGGAAGCCGGTATTTGGATGCAAAAGAGTTTTATCATGGGAGAAGGCAAGCAACCAAGACAGCAGTACAAGTGGAGGTTCATTTAGGTGGGGAAGTTTGACAATTGTGACTGGAACTTCGGTTGCTGCAGGGACGGGAAACTTGCTGGAGCTGAGGCTAGAAAAACAGATTGGGATTAGGTTGTGAACTGACCAGATTGGAGGCCTGGGAGATAATTAACTCTCACCTCTGCACGGTTTACAGTCCCTCATTCTCGATCTCACCAAGTCTATGAGGCCTGTGGGTGACTACTTATTTAGACCTGGGAAACTGAAGTGCAGAAGATAAAAAGTGGCTCCTTTTTCACCTCATCCCTGCTTGCAGAGATCTAGCCTAAACTCTGGGAATTAAATCTCTCCATCCCTGGCGTTTAGAGCTTGTTTAGACAACAGGACTTCATCTCTCTCCTAATCCAGTAGTGAAGCAAAGACAAGCCTCCCTCATTAGAGCAATGAAGCCATTGTGGGAAATAGAGGTGATATTTGGACCTTGGGAACTTGGACAGGCAGATAAATTCAGTTAATAAATAGTTGTTGATGGACATTCTCACAAATGCTTACTGTGGGGGAGGCAGAGGCTATAGGCCCATGTTTGAATTCCATCTCAGAGGTTGATCTTTCCATTTGTTTCGGGGCACCAGTCACAGTTCTAGGAGTAGTGGATACAGAATAATAAAGGTTCCTGCCTGGCTTTTCGCTAGCCTAGGCTCTTGTGCTGGAGTTAGAGAATTAATAATCAAGCCATAAAATGTATAAGTGCTACCAAAGCAATAATCAGGCGACAGAGAGCAGAAGTTTGGGAGGCAGATCACCTGGCTTTGACTATGGGCTGTGACCATAACTACTTCATTTCTGTGTGCCTCAGTATCCTGTCTGTAATGTGGGGGAATAATATAGTTTAACTTAGCCTATTCAGGCTACCGTAACAAAAAACCACCTCCTGGAGGGCTTAAACAACAGAAATTTATTTCTCACAATGCTAGAGGCTTGGAAGTCCAAGATCAAGGTGCTGGCCATTCAGTTCCAGGTGAGGACTCTTCCTGGCTTTTAGACAGACACATTCTCACTATGTCCTCACCTGGCCTTTCCTCTGTGCATGCTAACATTCAGTCTGTAACAAACTTCTAGGCAGTTGTGAAGCTTAGCTTGAGTAGTATACATAAAATTCTTAGAATGATACCTGGCCCATGGTAAGCTTGCAAGGAATGTTAGCCGTATTAGCACCATAAAGGAAATAAAAGAGAGAGGAGGCCCTGACTGGTGTGGCTCAGTGGGTTGAGTGTAGTCCTGCAAACCGAAAGGTCACCAGTTCGATTCCCAGTCAGGGCATGTACCTGGGTTGCAGGCCAGGTCCCTGGTTGGGGGTTGGGGGCGTGTGAGAGACAGGCAATTGAAGTTTATCTAACACACTGATGTTTCCTCCCTCTCTTTTGCCCCCCTCTAAAACTAAATAAATAAAATTTAAAGAACATGGAGGATAGAGAGATTAGCAGGGGTGCAGAGAGCGTTAAGAAAGGTGGTCTGGAAAACCCTCTTTGAGAAAGTGACAGGGATCTGAGATGCAAATAAAATCAAAGAGATAGCTACACAAAGATCCTGGAGAGATAGTGGTTCTGGCAGAGGGAACTGCGTGCAAAGGCCCTGAAGTGGGAGGAAATTTAGCTCTTTGAGGAAAAGACTGGGAACCTGTGTGGGTGGAGCCTGGTGAGCCAGGAAGAAGAGTGGGAGTTGAGGTGGGCAGAAGTTAGATGGTTCAGGGCCTTGCTGGTTATGAAAAAGATACTGGTCTTTGTCCTGGGACCAGTAGAAAGTCTAATGATTTGGTTAATAGGCCTTAAGTAAATAAAGACTGCTAGAGAAAGAGCCCAGCCCAGAGCACTGAGGACTTGGGTTTGAGTCAGGGCTCCTTGATCATGTGTTCTTGTGCAGGTTTTTTTTCCTTACAGGAGCTTGATCTGCACACAGTATAATAAAGTGCCTCTCTCCTGGAAACTTGTGACGACCCTAAGGATGTTCTTTTGTTCTTAAGTATTGAGTGTTGGTTGGAATGACCCAAAGAGTGTGTTCACAGTAAAGATTGCTGAGTCCTGTCCCACACTCCCTTGGGCGATTGTTCTCAGGGAGTGGTGGATGGAAGGGTCCTCACTGAACTGCAAAGCGAGAAGATAATAGTGCAATTTTAGACAGAGGTTTAGCCTACCTGGCCCTCTGCTCTTCGTGGAGCTGGGTGCCTGCTGAGACCAACCTGGTACTCCCCAACTTTTCCCTTGGGAAGTGCCTTAGGAGAGACTTACCAATCCAGCTGTCTGTTTTCTGGTTCACAGATAGGAAGACTGAAGCCCAGAGCCCTGAACCCATGGGTCCAGCCCTCTGAAGAGAAGCAGACATAAAGACTGCTGGCTCTGGGCTCAGGGCAGTGCTGGGATGAGAGAGAACAAAGGTGTGACTTGAGCTGAGAGTCTGGCCACTTTGGGGCATGCCCAGGCAGTAGATAAGTCTGGGAGCACCCACATAACTGAGCAAGGGCCCAACCACTCAGGGCAAGTTAAACACCTGGATTTAACTCCTAGCTGCAAAATTACTAGCTGTGTGACCATGACCTGGCTATTAAACAAAATGCCATATTGCTTCCCTGGGCCTCAGTTTCCTTATCTGTGAAAGGAAATGATTGATTAGAGTACTTGTGTCAACATGAAGTTTAAGTGAGTTAATACATATAAGGAGCTTAAGATACCTCCCTGACTGGTGTGGCTCAGTGGATTGAGCACTGGCCTGCGAACCAAAAGGTCATCTGTTCGATTCCCAGTCAGGGCACATGTCCAGGTTGTGGGCAAGTTCCCCTGTTGGGGACATGTAAGAGGCAACTGTTTCTCTCTCACACAACAGTGTTTCTGTCTCCTTCCTGTTTCCTCTCTCTAAAAATAAATAAATCTTAAAAAAAAAAGAAAAATAGAGTTTAAGATACTGCCTATTATTTAGCAAGTGCTCTGTAAATGTGAGCTATCATATTTTATTAAAGAGAAACTTTATCAGTCAGACTGTCCAAAGATGATCTGGAAGGGAGGTAGTGAGTGCCTCATCCAGAGATAGGGAGGGATCCCCTGGAAACTCTAGGGGTGACTCAGCCTTGGAGAAAGTTGGTCCTTAAGCCCTTAACTCACTTTCCAGCCTCAGGATTTAGTGGGAAAAGTGAAAAAAGGTGAGGGTGGAACAGAGTTATGTGGCACTGCGGCCAAAAAACCAAAGGGGAGATACAGGAAGAGCTTCCTGGGGGAGGTGGGGCTCACAGGGAGGATTGGTGGGATTTGTAACTGCCAGGAAGGACCTGGGAACTTGCATGGTGTGATGGAAGCCATGGAAAGTTCTTGAGTGTCACATGGTACTTTAGGGAGATGATGCTGGCTGCCTGTGCATGCTACATTGTATTTGTGGGCGGCGGGGGGCGGGGGGGGGGGCGGGGGGCAGGCGGGCGGAGGGGAACTGAGGTAGATCCAACAGGCAGAAGGGTGCTGACTCTAAAGATGCAGCCTCTGCCACTCACTCCAGGTGCTCCAGTGTCCTCCCTGGGTCATAACTTAAAAGTATCCAACCCCTACAGATGGGGAAACAGGCTTAGAAAGGAGCGGGAGAACTCAGGCTTCCTGCCTCCCAGCCTAGCTTCTGGGCATACCAGGCTCCCCTCCCTTCTCAGTAGCAGAACCTCACCCCCATCCAGGCCACTCCCAGCAGCTGCTGCTGAGCACTCCATAAGTGGATATGCCATAATCCCCTTCCCTTCATCCCTCAGCAGGGGATGAGCTGGTATTAGGACTAATGCAGCCATTAATCCTATTTCCTTCCAGCTGTCATCCACCGGAACAGCTGTGTGGAGGGCTCTGAACTGAGAATGAAAGGGCCTAAACTAGAGTGGGTGTCTCAGGAGGCCAGGCCAGGTCAGATACATGATTATGACTCAGAGGCTTCTAACTGCTAGCTATGGCTCTAGCTGCCTTGAGAGTGACTGAGCTCCCCATTACCAGAGCTATGGGAGCAGGACCCCACAATGAGTCCAGAGCAGAGAGTAGACTAGGATTCCTGTCTGGGGTGGAGTTCCTTACAGCCTGCAAGGCCAGAAATCTGTGTGAACAGTTGCTGCCTCTGAAAGCTAACGAACCAAAGGGGGAAAACAAAATACTTATGCTGGGGACCTATCACTTCCAGACAAACGGTGCCAATGATCATATTTAGCCCATTGGTTCTACTCTCTTCTGGACCCACCTCTGTCTTCCCTGGGCACTTAGAGATCTTCGGGCCAGATCCACATCTAGGTACCTCTTTTTGCAGCTTTGCATAGGATTCTGAATCCTGGCACAGGCCTTGGATGCCGAGCTGAAGAAGGAAGATGGTGAGATGGATGGAACCAGGGCCATCTATGAATGGCACAGGGTCTGGAAAAGCTCAGCTTGGGGAGGGAAGTGCATGTGGACATTTTGATGACCCCAGCCTCCTCCCTTAGCCCCTCTGAAGTCACCTAGACCAACTCCTTTTATCAGAGAACAGACCAGAGAGGAAACTTGAGCAGAGTGTCAGAGCCAGGAATGTTTGAAAGGAAGGATGCCGGGGTCCTAGATGGGAAATGCAGCTAAGTTAGGGATCCCACTGAGGCCTCATGAAGGCCTTGGTGAGGGGAGAGTCCTTGGAGAACGGTAAAGGAATGTGGCTTCTGTCTAACTTTGCTTTTCTCTCAGAAGAGTTTTGTGCATCGAGGCCATGGAGGTGGAGTCTGCGGAGGCCCGGCCCCCAGGTCCTGGCTACAAGCGATCTGGCCGCCGCTACAAGTGCCTGTCTTGTACCAAGACATTTCCAAATGCACCCAGGGCAGCGCGCCACGCTGCCACCCATGGGCCTGTAGACTGCGCAGAGGAGGTGGCAGAGGTGAAGCTGAAGCCAGAAACAGAACCTAAAGCAGAGGATGCCAGTGGGGACAAAGTGTCAGGTGCAGCGGCTAAGCCTCGGCCTTATGCATGCCCGCTGTGCCCCAAGGCCTACAAAACAGCACCTGAGCTGCGGAGTCACGGACGCAGCCACACAGGCGAAAAGCCCTTCCCTTGCCCGGAGTGTGGCCGCCGCTTCATGCAGCCTGTGTGCCTGCGCGTGCACCTGGCCTCGCACGCTGGTGAGCTGCCATTCCGCTGCGCGCATTGCCCCAAAGCCTATGGCGCGCTCTCCAAGCTCAAGATCCACCAGCGTGGTCACACGGGTGAGCGGCCCTACGCCTGCGCAGACTGTGGCAAGAGCTTTGCTGACCCTTCTGTTTTTCGCAAGCATCGGCGCACACACGCGGGTCTGCGGCCCTATGGCTGTGAGCGCTGCGGCAAGGCCTATGCCGAACTCAAGGACCTGCGCAACCATGAGCGGTGAGGGCGCTTAAAGGGTTAGGAAAGAACAGGTTAAAGGGGTGGAAATGGGACAGCAGTGGCTGCTCAATTATCAGTGCAGCCTGGGCTTGGGTTTTAAGGAGTGGAATGAGCCAATGGGAAGGTGAGTGGGGTGGAGCTATGGGTAGTGAGTAGTGTGTACATGAGAGAAGCTGGTGATCCTGGTAGATCGGTGGCATGATGGGGTGGGGCAAATTAGTTTGGGATAGGGCCCATGTAAGTGGGGTCTGATTGGCTTGGGTTCCTGGACAGCAGGGAAGGGTCAGGGCTTGAAGCTGGGCTACTCAGAGGGTCTCTGGTGGAGCACAAGAAGTGTAAGTGGGACCTGATATGTCTAGGTCTTTGGAGAGCAGAGAGAGGTCTTTTCTGGAATCTAGACTCCCAGCCCGAAGGTTTCTTTCCCTGGGGTACAGTTCTGTGGCTCTTAAGGGATTGGGTCAAGGATGTTAAGGTCTCCTAACTTACAGTGCAGACAGGCAGCAGGGGTCAGGTGATGGACCTGCCACCTTCATGCCGGGTTCCCCCACACTCCTACAGGTCCCACACTGGTGAGCGCCCCTTCCTCTGCTCAGAGTGCGGGAAAAGCTTCTCCCGTTCATCCTCGCTCACGTGCCACCAGCGGATCCATGCGGCACAGAAGCCCTATCGCTGCCCAGCCTGTGGCAAGGGCTTCACACAGCTCAGCTCCTACCAGAGCCATGAGCGCACTCACTCTGGTGAAAAGCCCTTTCTGTGCCCCCGTTGTGGCCGCATGTTCTCTGACCCCTCGAGCTTCCGGCGCCACCAACGGGCGCACGAGGGCGTGAAGCCTTACCGCTGCGAGAAGTGTGGTAAAGACTTCCGGCAGCCTGCGGATCTGGCCATGCACCGGCGGGTGCACACAGGGGACCGGCCGTTCAAGTGCCTGCAGTGTGACAAGACGTTCGTGGCTTCCTGGGACCTCAAACGTCACGCGTTGGTGCACTCAGGCCAGCGGCCCTTTCGTTGTGAGGAGTGTGGGCGAGCCTTCGCCGAGAGAGCCAGTCTTACTAAGCACAGCCGGGTGCATTCGGGTGAGCGCCCCTTCCATTGTAACGCCTGCGGAAAGTCCTTTGTGGTATCGTCAAGCCTGAGGAAGCACGAGCGGACCCATCGAAATAGCGAGGCCACAGGGGCTCCCCCACAACAGGAGCTGGTAGTGGGGCTAGCTCTACCTGTCAGCGTGGCAGGGGAGGGCTCAGTGGCCCCAGCAGCGGGTGCAGGGTTAGGGGATCCTCCAGCAGGGTTGCTAGGGCTACCCCCCGAATCAGGCGGTGTGATGGCCACCCAGTGGCAAGTGGTGGGCATGACTGTGGAGCATGTGGAATGCCAAGATGCTGGGGTTGGGGAGGCTCCTGGTCCCTTGGAGGGAACAGGCGAGGTCGGGGGTGAGGAGGTTGATGAGAAGCCACCACAGTTTGTGTGCCGAGAATGCAAGGAGACATTCTCCACTCTGACGTTGCTGCGACGGCACGAGCGCTCACACCCAGAGCTCCGCCCCTTCCCCTGTACCCAGTGTGGCAAGAGCTTTTCAGACCGGGCTGGGCTACGCAAGCACAGCCGTACACACAGCTCTGTGCGCCCCTACACCTGCCCCCACTGCCCCAAGGCCTTCTTGAGTGCCAGTGACCTACGCAAGCACGAACGCACCCACCCTGTGCCTGTCAGCAACCCCACCCCCCTTGAGCCCCTTGTGGCTTTGCTAGGAATGCCTGAAGAGGGGCCAGCCTGAGGCCCATGCTCCTTTGAACTTCTAAGAGCTCAGCCCCCCCATAGGGTGCCTCACCAACCTCCCTTGGCCCCAGTTTACTCTTTAGCCTTCAGATCCCTGTGTCCCCGCCCCACCCCCTGGTTGCTGGCTTACCTTCCCGGCAAAGAGATCTAGAATAGTGGAGGTTGGCACCCACTGTTGAGAGACATGGCTCTCTGAGTAACTCTCATTAAAGCATTTGCTTTGATACTGGGCTGTCTTCTGTGTGGTGGTTGGGGGTAAGGGAGGGAGTTTGGGCATCAGATCATTGGAGACCCCCAGACAGATTAGAAACTAGAAGGGTCTTTGGGTGTATTTTTTTTGTTCTGCTTTTTAATTATATTTTATTGGCTATGCTATTGGGTACATTTTTTCAAAGTATGTTTCAGAATGTCTTGGGATAGGGTTTCATGATCAATTAAGTACAGGAAATTCCCTGTGCCTTTCTTGTGGATTGTTGATCAAAAGTGTATTAAAAGTCATTCCTAAGTCCTGCAACAAATCTATTTAGCTTTGTTTATCCCATACTTATTTAAGCATGGAAACTTTTTACTGAGTAGTTCTGCTTCTGTCCTTTTATAGAGGATAAACTGAGGCCCAAAATTAGTATATGAGGGTGGACCCCAAAAAACTGGAATTATCTTTTGGAGGGTGGGCCCCTGGTAGCATAGGCTTCCTCCATCAGGTGAGTGTATTGATGTACCAGCTGGTGGTGTTGTGAGAGGCAGCCTTCAGCATCAGTGAAATTTTTTTGAAGACTCAACCCTTGCCTGTTTCATGATGGGTGATTTAGGAGCACACCGGCCCACACTCCCCCCTCCCTATTCACCCGATCTCAATCCAAGCAAATTTTTTTCATTTCCGTGGGTGAAAAAAGTCCTCAAAGGGAAATGCTCTGCTGATGTGAAAGAGGTGAAACAAAAAAAAACGGCAGGAGCACTAAAAGGCATCAAAATTGACAAGTTCAAAAACTTGTGAGCAGTGGAAAAAACATCTCGATAGGTATATCACATCAAATAGGGAGTACTTTGATGGTGACTGAAATTTAAACATATAAGAATAAATATAATTTTTTATAAATAAATTCAGGTTTTTTGGGGGCCCCCTCGTATTTCCTATATACTGCAGTAACAAATTAGAAGATACACTTGAAAAAGGTCCCATTCACAATAACAAAACCCATAAACTATAAAATAGTAAACCTCACAAGAAATATGAAAAATTTACATGAAGAAAGTGATCTGAAGAATATAAGACCTAACTAAATGGAGACATATACCACGTATCTAAATGGAAAGGCAGTGTTGAAAGCTGTTGATTCTCCCAACTTTATGCTTAAATTCATTGCCACCCAAGAAGGATTTTTTAGTAGAACCTGAAAATCCAAAGTTTCTGTGCAATACATTTTTAAAAAACAATGGAGGTGATATAGTTACATACTAGGTAGTCAGACACCAAAGCACTGGAGTAAAAACAGGATGTTATTGGCACAAAAATAAATTGATCAGTGGAGTTGGGGAAAGGGTTTAGAAACTGTCCTGAGTACTTCATGGAATTTGGTTTGTGATAAATATGGTAATTAAAATCAGAGGGAAAAGGGTAGGCTATTAAATAGCTTTACAGTTATATCTGTACTCTGAGAGGTTACACATCTTTTTAAGTAATTTTTTAAAGACCAAAATGAAGCCTCACATTTAGTGTAAATTGATACGGCCTCTTGGGAAGATGATTTGATTATATTTATCAAAAAGTGTAATGGATATACCCTTTGGCTCAGCAGATATACCTCAGTCTACGCCTCAAGTTTTTTCCCACTTAAGTGGTAAAATTGAAGATAATGTTTAATACAGCAAAGTTTGTAATACTGGGTATACCCTAAATGTCCATTAGCAGAGGACTATGGCTAGTCACTGTAAAATACATTATGCAGTGGTTTAAAAAATGAGGATTATCAATGTATATTGTTGAACAATTGTCAAAATATAGGTCAAGGAAAATGAAAGTGCAAAGTGGTGTGGTTAGTATGCTCCTTTTTGGGCCAAAATATGCATACGTGCTCAAATTACTATAGAATATGTCTAGAAGGATAGTTAAGAACTGATTTTGAACTATACATTCTAGCCACTAGGGCTTTTCCCATTTATAAGCCAAAACAAAGCCAACAGTCAGAATGTACCAGACCCTCTTTTTCATGCTTTTTTATTTCTAGACGTGGGTGTTGCCAAATTGGCAGCTTCAGGACATGATAAGTGCAGCCTGCCTCCAGGCCCATGTGCCAGTCATGAGGGACGTTGCAGTAGACGGCCCTAGTCCAGAGCCGGTATACCAGGTAGCACCAGTTGCATAAGTAGTAAGAATTCCCGTGCTGTCCGGGGCCTGACTCCGCGTGGTGCCCAGGCTTTGGAAGAGACTCTCATTCCTTCCCTCCATAGCAGAACAAGGCAGGCATCTGGCAACAGCAGGTGCCAGGGTGTCATGGCTGCAGGATGAGGGAACCAAGAATATTCACTACCCATCCCCATACCCAGAGCAGGACAAGCAATGACTTCATGTCTCCTGCCGGTTCAGGCTAACACCAAGTCTGAAAGAAGGGGTCCAAGAAAGAAGCAGACCAAATGGGGTTGGAACAGGGGAGCTTTGGTTACTACTGACTTGATTTATGACCATGAGCAAGAAATTGGTACAAAGATACCATATACACTAGTCAACAGATATACTTGAGAACTTACATACCATGAAGGAAAAAGTGGGTCCTGTGGATGTTCAGAAGGGATCCCCAACTCCTGCTCCCTTTCTGGGACCAGCAACCCACTCTGACACTTCAGGCATCCCATACCCCAGTTCCTGCTCTGTGAGGACTCAAACAAGTTGACTTAAAAAAAAAAAATTAACAGCTACATTAAGATGTAATTCATATACCATATAATTAATCCATCTGAAGTGTACGATTCAATGGTTATGCAACCATCACAATCTAATTTTAGAATATTTTCATCTCTCTAAAAAGAAACCCCATACCCATTCGCTGTCAATGCCTATTGATTTTACCCCGCCCCCAACTCCTTTCCCTCAGCCCTAGTCAACCACTAATCTTATCTGTCTCTATGGATTCATCTATTGTGGACATTTCATGTAGGGATCATGCAATATCTAGTCTTTTGTTACTGGCTTCTTAATATTCTTAGCATAATGTTCTCAAGGTTTATTGAAGTTGTAAACTGATTAGTATGTCATTCCTTTTTATTGTCAATATTCCATTTTATGGATATACCATTTTTGTTAGTGATGGACATTTGGGTTTCCATTTTTGTCTATTGTGAATAATGCTGTGAACATTCATGTCAAAGTTTTTGCGTGGACATGTTTCTCAATTCTCTGTGTACATATCTAGGAGTGGAAATGCTGGGTAACTATTGTTTAACCATTTGAGGGACTGTCACACTTTTCTAAAGTGGCTCTACCAATTTACATTCCTGCCAACAGGTTATGAATGTTTGAATTTCTCCACATCTTCACTAGCAGTGTTATTATCTGTCTTTTTTTAATTATAGCCATCCTAGTGGGTGAGAATTTGTAGTGTTAATTTGCATTTCCCTGATGGCAAATGATATTGAACATCTTTTCATGTACTCACTGGCTATTGGTATATCTCTTTGAGTAAACATCTGTCTATTCAAGCCCTTTGCCTGTTTTTAAGTTGGGTTCTTTGACTTTTTGCTGTTGCATATTAAGAGTTTCAGATACCAGTTCCTTGTAATTTGCAAAAGTTCTCTCCCATTGTGTGGGTTGTCTTTTCACTTTCTTCATGGTGTCTTTTGAAGCACAACAATTTTTAATTTTGATGATGTCCAGTTTATCTGTTTTTTTCTTTTGTTGCTTGTGCTTTGACAGCCATATCTAAGAAATCATTTCCTATTCTGAGGTCATGAAGATTAATGCCTATGTTTTCATCTAAGAGTTTTATAAACTTACAATTTTTAAAAGTATAAACTTTTAAATAAACTATAAATGGTTTATGACTAACAGCTCTTAGATTTAGGTCTTTGATACATTTTAGTTAGCTTTTGTAATGGTTTGTGATAGGGCGTCCAACTTTTACATGTGGATATTCAACTGTCCCAGAACCAGTTACTGAAAAGGCTCTTCTTTCTCCATTGAATTGTTTTGACAGTCTTCTTGGAAATAAACTAACTGTAAATATGAGGGTTTACTTCTGGACTCTCAGTTTTATTCCCCAGATATACCTATATATCTTTATTTATGCCAGTACCACATTGTTTCACTTACTGTAGCTTTGTAGTAAAATTTAAAATCAGGACTTGTGAGCCCTTTATCTTGTTCTCCTATTTCAAGATTATTTTTGTTTTTCTAGATCCCTGGCATTGCCATATGAATTGTAGGATATAGGATTAGCTTGTCAAATTTGCAAAAAAAAAAAAAGAAACAAAAAGAAAATAGTGGGGATTTTGATAGAGATTGCATTGAATCTATAGATTAGTTTGAGAAGTATGACTTAATATTTAATCTTCTGACCTATGAACATGGGATATTTTAAAATTTTATTTAGATTTTTAGTTTCAACAGTGTTTCATAATTTTCAGTTCTTTTGTTGAATTTATATCTAAGTATTTTATTCTTTTTTTGTTGCTATTATAAATGGAATTGTTTTCTTTGTATCATTTGTGGATTGTTCATTGCTGATGATGAGGAATACAACAGATTTTTGTACATTCTTGTATGCTGCAACCTTGTTGAACTACTTTATTAACTAATAGTTTGTGTGTATTGTTAAGGATTTTCTATATACAAGATCACGTCATTGGTAAATAGAGATAATTTCCTTCTTTTCCAGTCTGAATGACTTTTATTTCCTTTTCTTGCCTATTGTCCAGGCTAGAACTTTCAGTACGATGCTAAATGGAAGTGGTGGGAGCAGACATCCTGATCTCAGAGGCAAAACATCCAGGCTTTCATCATTTAAGTATGATGTTAGCTGTGAAATCTTCCTAGATGCTCTTTGATAATTAGCAAGTTAGGGATGTTCCTTTTTATCCCTAGTTTCTTAAGTTTTTAAAAATTATTATTATGAGAGAGTGTTGGATTTTGTCAAATGTATTTTCT